AGTTCGAATTATATATGCAATTAACTTTGGATCTAGAGTTGAGAAATGAGGGTAATTTAGTCATTTACTTAAAAGAATTTATTTTAATTCAAATTTAATTAAATTTTTAGCTCACAGGTCAGTCTCGGTCAGGACTCAAAGATTAGCGAGCTAAATTCAGTAGTCGGGCTTATAAATAAGATTTTGGTATGGTGTGACAAATACCCATATAATTAGCAGAAAATAGCCCTAGTTATATAGATTTGCACCATGTAACTAATAAATATATATCACAATTTTATTTTTCTTCTTTGTCTATATTAAAAATATATATTAAATTTTATTTTTCTTATTTGTATATCTAAAATATAAAAATATAAATACAAATGTTTAAAATTTATTGTTGTCTCTATATCAATGTATATCATAATAAAAATAATTATTTGTTTGTATATCGCAGTATATAACACATCGGATATGTGTATACTAAAATAGATATCACAAGTTTATTTTCTTTCTTTGTGTATATTAAAAATTTATTTTCTTTCTTTGTATATCAAAAAATATATTAAAAATTTATTTAGTACCACAATTATATTTATTATTTTTATATTTTAGAACTTGCTCTAATATTGTTATATCAAAATTTATTTTTCTTGTTTGATCAAGAATAAGTTTGAAATAAGTTTATTCAGAATAAATTTTGCCCTCTTAAAATCAAATCGGATAATTTTGCCCTCTTAAAATCAAATTGGACGATTTGATGTAGATTTAATCTTATATTATCAAATCTAACAATGTATATCACGATATGCAACATAATATACACACAAACATATAGGGTGATATACATAGATGTACACCACCTCAAATACACATATTTTTTTTTCACAATTAAAAAAAAAGAGGGAAGAAGAAGAAAATTGGAATCTGCCTCTTGACAAAGAAAGAGAAGAAGAGAGAATGTCTCGGAGCATGGATGCTTTCAACTAAGATTTCAAGACTAAAAAAAATAGAAAACCCGACCTCGATCTATTTAGCATCCATTTCAGCGCACCATAGCTTGGGTTTTATTCTAGAGATTTTAGAAAATGGTGTTTAAGGGACGTTGATTAGTAGATAATGGGTTTATTTAGGTGAAAAAATCAATGAAGTTTAGATAGGTTATTAATATGAAACTGATTAGCATAAAAATTGAAGATGAAATATGGGGAGAAAGAGGAAAACTGAGAAATAGAGAGAAGAATGTAACGACCCGGTCGGTCGTATTGAGTATTACAGCCTTGTTCCCCTATTTACTGCTCAATTTATGCTTTACAGTCGTTTTAAGACTTACCGGGTTAGTTGGTTCTGGTCCGGAGGGAATTCGGGGTGAAATGAGACACTTAGTCTCATAATTAAAAATTTTAAGTTAGAAAAGTTAACTGGATGTTGATCTATGTGTAAACGACATCAAATTCGAATTCTGATAATTTCAGTAGTTCCGTATGGTGATTTTGGATTTAGGAGCGTGTCCAGAAAATTATTTGAAGGTCCGTAGTGGAATTAGGCTTGAACTAGCGAAAATTGAATTTTAAGAAGTTTGACCGGGGGTTGACTTTTTGATATCGGGGTCGGAATCCGATTCTGGAAGTTGGAATAGTTCCATAATGTGAAATGTGACTTGTGTGCAAAATTTGAGGTCATTCGAACGTGGTTTGGTAGGTTTCGGCGTCGTTTGCGGAATTTGGAAGTTTAGAAGTTCTTAGGCTTGAATCCGAGGGTAATTTAGTGTTTGATGTTGTTTTGAGTGATTCGAAGGCTCGACTAAGTTCGTATGTTGATATATGACTTGTTGGTATGTTTGGTTGAGGTTCCGAGGGCCTCGGGGTAATTGCGGGTGGTTAACGGATTGTTTGTAGTTGGAAAGATGCAGCTGAAGCTGCTGCTACTAGTATTTCCACACCTGCGGAATGGGAACAGCAGGTGCGAGCCCGCAGAAGCGGGTATTTGGGCATAGAAGCGAAAGAGAGAAGTTTGGGTAGAGTGCGCAGGTGCGAAGGATTTGCCGCACCTGCGATGGCCGCAGAAGCGTGGAATCGAGCGCAGGTGCGTGTTGTGTCCGCAGGCGCGATAATAATTTCGCACCTACGATGATCGCAGATGCGGTTCCTTGGTCGCAGGAGCGGGGACTGCGTTTAAGTAATTCTTCGCAGAAGCGGAGCTTGGTCCGCAGATGCGGCTCTGCAGATGCAGAAATGCAGCCGCAAGTGCTAAAAGTCTGGGCAGAACAAATAAAAACGGGACTTCAAGATTTTTCACTATTTTTAACATTTTGGACTCGGGCTTAGGCAATTTTGAAGAGGATTTTCGAGGGAAATTCTGAGGTAAGCTTCTTGTGCTTGATTTTGATCATAAATCTTGTTTTCCCATTGATTTTTTCCACCTAGATTGTGTGGGTTGAGGTGAAATTGGGAGATTAGGGCTTGAGAATTTGAGAGTGGATTTTGGGGATTTGGAGGGGCAAATGATGTCGGATTTTGATAAATTTGGTATGGCTAGACTCGTGAGTGAATGGGCTTTCGGGTTTTGTAATTTTTGTCGGATTTCAAGACGTGGGCCCGGGGGTCGAGTTTAAGCCGATTTCGGATTTTGGGCTAGATTTTAGTAGTTTATTGTGGAATTGATTCTTTTAGCCAATATTGATTATCTCGTACTGTTTGTGACTAGATGTGGGGCATTTGGAGGTCGGTTCGAGAGGAAAGAGCATTCCGGATTATACTATGGCACGTGAGTTTGTCCGTGCAACACGTGAGTTTTCTGTGCGGATCCTTATATTATACTATAGCACATGAGTTGTCTGTGCAATACGTGAGTTGTCCATGCGGATTCAGATATTTATACTATGGCATGTGAGTTTGTCCGTGCAGCACGTGAGTTGTCCGTGTAAATTATAGTGTTTGGGCTGTAGGAGCCCCTCCGGAGTCTGAACACCCCTAGTGAGTGCGGGTATCCATTAAGTGTGAGTGCTGAGGGCTGAGAGACGAGTGGTTGAGTTGTTGTGACGAGTTGAGTGACTATTGCTCTGAGAGGCTGTACTTGCTTTTCATTTGTTGTTGCACTTAGTTGCTATCTGTTATTGTTGTAAAATTCTCTGAAAGATTTTATATCCGGATTACACGAACTTGAACTGTATAAAATTGATTTGACTTAAACTGCAGGATTTGAAAGCATGTCTATTCTTTGCTGGAATTACTGAAAGTGAACTATAATTGTGTAGCTCGTCATTATCTTCAATTCCTTATTTATTATTGTTACTTACTGAGTTGGTTGTACTCATACTACACGTAGATTCAGGTGTTCCCGGTCATAGCGAGTGTTGATTCTCTCGCACAATCGACTTTTTCGGAGATTCAGAGGTAGCTGCCGTGTTTCGCAGACCTTGCCTCTCCTTCCCTATCTACTTATGTACTACATTTGGTTTCAGATTATTATGGACCGTATTTTCCAGACTTGTATTCGTATTAGATGCTCATGTACTCAGTGATATCGGGTTTTGGAAGTGTTTATATATGTATTTATGAGTTTGTCTTTAGCTAAATTTAGATATTATGTTTTCAAACTCAAAAGATATGGTGATTTATTTAGATTGTCGGCTGACCTAGTATTGAGATAGGTGCCATCACGATGGGTGAGATTTTGGGTCGTGACAAAGAAGAAGTAACATCGGGAGAGAGAAGAAGAAAGTTTACCAGATTGAAGAAAAAATATTGGGCGAGAGAATAAATAAGGAATTAGAGTTTTTCATTATATAGCTATAAAATGCCAATTTTCTTGGGAATGCCTTTGCCAGACCTAATTTAAGGCTAAAATTACCAATTCTCTTTATGCATTGTCATATCATGCCTTTTTCCCTTATAAACTTTAACTTCAAATGGGCTCGAAAAATCCTAATTTTACCCTACCCAAATAGCAGGCTGGGTTAGACTGGCCCAACATGCCTAGTGTATTTTTACGGCATCTTATGGGAATATACCAAAAAAAATACAATTTACTAACAACTATCATGTTACAAAAAATAGCCCAAAAAATTATCCATGATATACAATATTCAAAAAGCATAAGCGAAAAAAGATTTTTTTTTCAATGGGTATTATTGCGATTCGTTAAAAATACATAGATGAGGAAATATATAAAATTTGACTAAGTTCGAAGGTGAGTTAGACTAGTTTGGAGTCAAAATTTATTATCAATGATAAATAATATTAAAAGAATTAGGCAAAAAAATATTCTTCTCAATGGGTATGGTTGGAATTCGTTGAAAATATATAGATGATGCAGTAAATAAAATTTGAGAAAGATTGGAAGTGATTTGGACTGGTTTGGTATCAAAATTCACAGTTAAAATCGAGTTTAAATGATTCTTCCGCGACACGTGTATCAAATATGTATCATGCATGTATGTCACACAAAGGTATATATGGATATATATGTGATATACATATGATACACAAATGATACATAACAATGTGATAAACATATGATCTTCTTCCATGTTCATTTTGTGTACTTCGAATTTGGTTCAAATTTCAATTCAAACCACTTAAAATCTCCATCAAATCATCTCAAAATTGAGATTCACATTCCTTAAAATGTACCCAATCTATTCCAATAAATACCCACTCAAAATAAATTCCAATTTCGAAAACCCAGATTTTTTAATTTAAGCTTAAGCAAGCTTCAATAATTGTCAATGGCATTTTCAGTTTAATCCTTCGACCCAATCCAACATACTAATGTTTAATAGTGATTTCTAAATCGAGTTAAGAACCTCGAATTTGAATTTCAACTTAAAGAAACTTAGAATATTACTGAAGTCTCAAAAAGTTTGAATTATCTTTGTGTTTTAGCAAACTAAATTTGTTACAAAATGATATTTGAGCTATTTTGATAGATATTTTATTTTGAATTAGTTTTGGTTAAAATTGTTTATGGACCTTTGGGTAGTTTTCCCCTCTAGTTACTCCTATTTGTTCAAAATTATGTAACAAGGGCAAAAGATACTTCCAAACTTGTGGACCATTTGAGTGAAAACCTCCTCCTCTAACAATTTAGGATTCTTCTTCTATTCTAATCTTCCAAAATCAGAATTGAGATACAGAGAATTTTCAGCAAGGAAGAGGGATTGCGATTGTGATTCTGATTCATGGATGTGTATTCATGGTTCCGACGAAGTCTCTCTAGAACTACTGCTACTACGACCACCGCTGTTACTGCTCAACCTAACGTTGAGGAGGAGGAGCTACTCTACGGCCTCACTGACCAATTACTCGATTTTATCAAATCCTTCTCCATTGATACCTTTCGCAACTTCTCTCTCCCAGGTTCCTTTTTCTTTTATTTTTGCTTTTCTTTTTAGTGAAATTGGGATTGATATGGTCAGACTCTAAGTAGTTTAGAATTGATAAATATTTATTGACATTTTTCTTATGTGGAGATTTACTTATTTAGCTTACATGCCGATATATCTTAATGTCTGAAATTGTAAAAGGTTTTGTTGTTAGATGAGGAGGATGGTAACAACGACGGCGGTGGAGATAATGTACGGAAAGATCTATCTGATTGGCAACAGCGTCATGCTTTGCTTGTTCTTTCCAAACTCAAGGTCTTTCCTTTTCTCCAACCCTTTTACTTTCTCTTCCCTTCAGGTTCTTAAAAGCTGTGTTAAAGGAAGATTTAGGACGTATATTTTGAATGTTTTTTTTTTGGTGAAGTAATTGGTTCATTACTGGCATCAAGAAGATGCATAAATTACAAAGGAGTGTAGCAATTGTTAGCTCCTTACAAATGTTTATACTAGTACTAGGGAGCAAACAAAATTCAAAAAACTCTCAGGGAGTTTATAGGGGATAGATAAGCCCAGTTATACAAATACATGAAGCATCTAGCCTTGAGTTTGTGGGGAGAAATTGATACTCCATCAAAACACCTGCTGTTTCTTTCATTCCAAATGCTCCAAAAAATAGCTGCAGGTATCATCTTCCATACTTTCCTGATGTTGCTATCAACTTTCCAGTAACTCCAAGACTCAAAAGCATCCCTGATATTATGTGGCATGACCCATCTAAGTCCAAAAAGTGATATAAACATACTCCATAAACAGAGGCGGACCCGGAATTTGAGCACGACGGGGGCACCACTGTATGCTAATCACTAGCGATAAAATTCNAGGCTTTTTGCCGAGGCTAACGGGGTCACGTGACCCCTCAACCCTTAACGTAGGTCCGCCTCTGTCCATAAATCTGTTGTAACATGGCATTGAAGAAAAAGATGGTTGTGAGTTTCTGCCTCCCTCTGGCACATGTAGCATCTATTCACAATCTGAAAATTCCTCTTGGCTAAGTTGTCTTGTGTCAGACAAGCCTCATAAAGTGCAGTCCAGTTGAAGCAGATGTAGCATCTATTCACAATCTGAAAATTCCTCTTGGCTAGGTTGTTTTGTGTCAGACAAGCCTCATAAAGTGCAGTCCAGTTGAAGCAGATGACTTTGGGTGGCAACTTGATTTTCCATATTAACTTCCAAGGCCAATGGTTAGTTATTACATTGTGAGTTCCTGCTAACTTGTAGGCTGCTTTAACCGAGTACTTTCCTGCATCTGCACTACCCCATTTGAACTGGTCAGGTACTAGAGTGTTACTTGAAAAATTGTTGAGTGAGGAAAGAAGTCTGAGTGGATCCTCATATTCCCAATCTTGCAACTTCCTTCTAAATGTTATGTTCCATGAGTTGCCTTCTCTGTACTGAAGAACTGTTGAATCTGGATCACCAGCCATTTGAAAGAGAGCAGGGTAGTCATTCCTTAGGGGTGTGTTGCCTAGCCATTTGTCCATATAGAATTTTATTTGTTGTCCATCTCCAACTGCGAAGTGCTGTTTTTGTGAGAACTCCTCCCAGAGTTTGCAGATGCTCTTCCAAACTCCAACTCCATGTGGTGCTCTAGATAGCTTGGTGCACCAGTGGCTTTTGGTTCCATGCTTGGCATTGACAACTTTCTTCCATAGGCTTTGCTCCTCTTGTGTATATCTCCAAAGCCATTTCATCAATAAGCATTTGTTGTGCAAAGCTAAGTCCCTGACTCCTAGTCCACCTTGGTGCTTTGGTAAGATAACTTTAGACCACTTTACCAGGTGAAACTTGTGACCATCTTTAGTCCCTTCCCATAGAAAGTTCCTTCTGATCTTGTTAAGCTGCTTCTGGACCTTACTAGGCATCGGAAAGAGTGACATCTGGTAGGTTGGGATGCTGTCTAGGACACTACAGATTAGAGTTAGTCTTCCATCCATAGATAGTAGATTGGATAGTAGATTAGATGCATACAAGATCAAAAAGGAAGCAGAGTATAGGTTCCAACAGGAAATAAGTCACAGATAACTCATACAGGAAATGCATCAAATCTCAAGAGTTAAAGTCAAGGTTTTTCCTTTGCTACTCCTCCTATGGACTTGTAAAACTACACGTCCTATTACTTGCCTATATGTTTCATCCTTTGAGCTTGTTGAATTAGACTCTTTTGGTTTGATTAAGATTCTGACTTTCTTCTTGATTTCTGGTGGATTTCACGAAGCACAGAATTCACAAAACACTAATGTCTGAATATGTAAAATATGCAATTTTAAGTAAATACACGCACACATATACCTGCTAGTGCATTATTCTAAGTGGTTTGGAGGACTACCTTATCAAAAAAAAAAAGTGGTTTGGAGGACTATAACCAAGAATTAAGTTGATGTAGACAAACTCCTTTTACGAACAACAGTAAAGGTAATACACATAGTTAGTGAAAAGCTTCTAAGGCCCCACTTCGTCCTGCCTAGCAGGAAACAATGGAGCTTTTGTCATCATTTACTTCCCCCCATATATATATGGCAATATTTGACTGGAAAGGAAAGGAAGACTTCTGGTAATTGGTACATTAACTAAAGGTAAAAACTTACCCGATGGACCAAAGGTAAAAACTTACCCACATCGGGTGTTGACACCAAACTCTACCAATTTACCATGGTTAAGTGATTTTAATATGCGAAACATGTACTAACTAACCATAATTACGTGAGTTGAGTCTTTTTACAAACACATGGCATGCACCTATTGGTTTGGCATAAACACCCCGGTGCGGGTAAGATGTTACCCTAACTAAATGTCTTCGACACACCAAAGTACTCCTAGTATCTAGTAGGGCTCCCAACATGTCATGCCGATACCTATAAGTACATCATTAAGAGTAAAATGAGAATGTTAAAAAGAAACATAAAAATGTGTCGCATCTTTTCGGAACCGACCAAAAAGGAAGGATCGGCATGTGAAAGGGAAATAAAAGAGTATTCAGTTATGAAAGTGTTTTTTTTTTTTTTTTTTTTGGGTTACCTTATTGAAAAAATGGTTTAGTTTTTATACTGTAGCATGAGACAATACAAAGAACCTTGACCTGGTATAAGTTTATTTTGCTTGCTACAGTGACTAGACTAAATATCTCATGCAAGGTTTTTATACTTGCATTATGTTGATTTTCTTTGGGATCTAGAAATTTACTAGGTAGTGGATGCAGACTACAAATAATTTTAGTAGGGTAAAAGCCACAATTTTCCAAGTGAAAAGGTTAGGTGTATGAGTTGTTCTCTCTTTATATGGTTTTGGACAATATTAATCAGTTGAGATAGCTTTTGAGGTTATATTAGGCCCGATGTCCATTTCTTAACATGGTATCGGAGCAGACCCCTACTTGATTTAGGGATACCCAATGTTAGACCAGCTATGTTACGTCATTACACCCTTCAAAATTCAAATGTCCACTCCTGAGCATGCCAAAGGGTATTAGACTCTCACTTTGGTTAAGTGTATAGGTTTAGTCTCTTTATGTGGTTTTAGGCATTCCTCACCACCTTAGTGAGTTAAGCTCAATGTCCAGTTCTTAAGACCGAGCAAGTATTTTGGCCTTATCAGACCTTCTTTCTTAGATCGGTTGATGTAGTCGGGATTTTCAGCCATCTCCCTAGAAGATCCTAACACCAATCTACTAGGCTAGCAGCATTTCACAACTTGATAAACTAGTGACATGTGAAGTTGACAACTATGTGTTCACATTAAGAACCAACGTATGAAGAAAACGATTAGTTACTTTTTTGTCTTTTTGTTGTGTAGTATAGATGATCCTGCAGTCCTTCCCCTAAGCAGTATCTTGTGTGGAGTCTGAGTATTATATGCCTGTTCATATTGGTTGATGGCTATATCTGAGAGACATGTGTTAGTTTCATCAGCTCGCATCCATTCTTTTCCTACTTCCTGTTACACACCTGTACATTAATTCTTCTCTGGGTAAATTAATTTTCTACTGTGAGCTTACTTTTGGTTCATGCATTTTCAGAAGATAAAAAGAATTTGACTATAGTGGGTTTAGAGACCTGCACCAGCTTTATCAGTTTGCATTTAGTTGTGACAGCTTCTCTGTTAATTTGGTTTCTTAAATTTATTTCGTCAATGCTCCATTCAGGAACTCTCACAACTGAGGTTCAAATTATGTCCACGTTATTTGAAGGAGCACCAGTTTTGGGCGATATATTTTGCACTTGTTAAGGGTTATATTGCCAAGTAAGTTCCGTGTACTAACTTTGCAAATGCTGTTGTGCTTGTGCTTCTTACCCAGAGAAGATAAAGTTCAATTAATGTTGATGATCAGATATGAGCTACGTGCTATACAATTAGATACACTCAAACAGATAAGAATGGAAAATGAAAATGCACCAGATGTTTCTGCATGCGAAGTTGAGATGTCTGAAGCGAAGCAAACAACAGATGTATCACCTACAACTTCTGAGGAGCACAATTAGTATCTCATTGGATATATCATTAATTATCAGGTATGCGTTCATTTCCTCTGATCCTGAATCAACCTATTTGTTAAGCAAGCAAGTTCATGCACAAATTTTATGCAGCAGAAACCTTCATGTTTTTCTCAATTCCACCTTAGAACCATTTCAATGCAAGAAAAGTGCCCCATCTAAGAGCAACTGCCAAGTGTGCCTTCCTGTTCCTGGCATGTGTATTTGAAGGCAATGTAAAGAAACTAAAACAGAATATCTGAACATTCTGATTTGTGATAATAAAAAACTGGAAGTCAAGCAAAATTACAGATGAAAATGAGAAATGAAACTGATTGTTGAAATTGGAAATGCATGGACATCAAGAAAAGGAGCAAATATTTCAAATACTGACGTGTCACTTGATCGCTTTTGCTGTACCTATGTTACTGGAATTGATTATCTGGTATTAATCTGCTACTAAATCAAGCTGTTTGTTATTAAATCAATTGAGCAAGTTCATACAGAAATTTGATTAAAAAGCACCACTGCCATTCATTTATCTTAACTTCACCATAAAACCTATTTAATGCAACTGAGCAATGCCCACATAAGAGCAGTTCTTAAGCGTGCATGTGTCTCTGGCACGAGTATGCAAGGCAATGTGGGAAATATAGTTGAAAGATGGCGAATGAAATAGAAATGTATGTAATTTGCAATGGAAGATATTCGAGAATGGGAAGCAAGTTTGCTCGTGTCCCTAGCATGAGTATCTAAGGCAATGTAGGGAATATAGTTGGAAAATGGAAAGTGAAACAGGATATCTGAGATTTTCAAGGCAAAAAAAAAGGCAGCTCGGTGCACTAAGCTCCCGCTATGTGCGGGGTCGGGGAAAGGGCTGGACCACATTGGGTCTGGTAGCCTTACCTTGCGTTTTTGCAAGAGGCTCTTTCCACGGTTTGAACTCGTGGCCTCCTAGTCACACTGCGGCAGCTTTTACCATTGTGTCAAAGCTCCCCTTCAAAAACGGGAGGATATTCAAAAATTGGAAGTAAGTGAGCTCGTGTCCCTGGCATGAGTATTTAAGGCAATGTTGGCTATATAGTGGAAAATGGAAAATATATGTGTGAAACATGTGATTGAAATATTCAAAATTGGAAGCTGCTAGCAAAATTTAGATATAATGATGAAAAAAAGTCTAGTTGTCCTAATTTAAAAATCTATGGACACCGTGAAAGATGAGAAGATATTTTTACAATGTGATTTCTTACATAAATGTTTTTACTATGTCGCTGATTCTGACCAATTGCCTGATTCCATTTGGTTTTGGATTGCCAAGATTTTCTTCTCCTTCAACCTGTTAGGTTAGATGATATTTCTTCATACAAATTGACACAAATATCAGTTGGAATAGGGGAAGTGTTTCACAGTGACCTTTAAATTATAGTGGACATGTGAAAGGTGGCTGAAGCAGTGTCATGTGTATCTATTGTACTGCGACATCTCCATTCTCAAATTGCCATGTAAAAGAGTGCGAGATTGAAGAAACCACTGGCCCGATATGCCACGAGGAGGGCAGAATCCGATGTACATTAAGATTGGTACAAAGGATGTGAAAATTTGCCATGGATGGGGTTGGTTTGTTGTTTATGAGCCCTTTTTGCTTAACTGATTAAAATTAAGGGATAAGCACAATTTCTAAAGTTGGATTTTGTAAATAAGTTTTTACGTGTTTGGATAGAAAGTGCTAAAACTGATAGAGAGTTATTGATGTGTTTGTAAAAATGTGGATAAGCACTTTTACATTAAGATGACCGAAATGCCCTTAAAGTTGTCAAAAATATGAATTTAAAAGTATATTTACATGGAGAAAGGCAAACGACATACATGGAATGGAGAGCGAGTTAGGTGTTCTGTTCTGGAAGGGCATTTCGGGAATTACAAAAGTATTAGGGATAAAATAATACTAAAACTTTTGGTTTCTCAGAAAAATAGTAAAACTTTTGTAAAAATGATTTTGTCTTATAAACACTTGGTTATAACTTATAAGCACATTTGGTATCCACCAAATGCGTAAATAAGCAGAAAGTACTGATGAACTAGTTTGACCAGCTTATAAGCTCACCCAAACACCCTGGACATACATGGCCTTTTGCTGTTACCAACAGTTCCTCTTTTGTCACTGAAGTTGGTATTTATAAGGGAGACAACTAAATGCTCAATGTTGAGGTAGACACATATTCATTGAAACCTATAATAGATAATTATGTTATGTTATCCATCAAAAATAAATAGATAACTATTAATTCTTGATCTTTTCATTGTTCGAAATAGTATCAATAAGATGGTTGTAATACCTTTACAAGAAAAAAAATCAATGGTTCTCTATAAAATCCTCCTGATATACTGGTGGCATGTGCTCGTAATGATATGTATATTAGGGTCTTGAGCACAGAAGATCTAAGTTCCGGATTATCTATGCACTAGTTCGGAGTTAATCATTTCGTAACTCTGGTGGCGAGTAAGGGAAACGGCCACTTTATTAAACCTGATCATGCTGCTATCAGCATGAGATCTGTGGGGAAAGCCAGCTTGTTTTACCTGAATATGTGTGAGAATGAGAGAAAGACGGTTGAGGGAAATTGAGGCTAGTACAAGAAGATGCATGTCATTTTGCTGAAGTGAGTATTTAATCAAATGGTAAAACATGAATCTCCTCCTTGACTCTATTCCTGATAATATGGCAAGAAGACATTGTACTCGGAAGTGGAATATAGCAGCTCGAATAATCCTGTCCTATTCTTGGAGCAAGAGGACACTCAGAACTGAGCAACATGCTGCTTGTATAATCTACTGCTAATTTTTTGAAGACAATCTTCTCCCTTTCCAGCCACACTAGAGCATATCAAATGGACATTAGAAGATTCTAAGCCGCTGATGAGCTTAGTATATTAAGAACCATCAAATGAGAAGTTGATTGATCTAATTCGTATTTGCTTATATATACAAATGCACCTCTATCCTCAAACTCGCCTAAACTATACGATCTTTGTCAGTTCTTTACCTAAACTATCGACTGTCCCCAAAACCCCCTTGAACTATATCCCCCTTCATAATAAAAACCTCCCGTCACTTATGTGGCATATTGTGTGAAATAAGTCGCCTAAGAGCGCGTGAAGGGTAACAATAACCAGTAAAATGGGCCCCAGCTGACAAAAAGTAACAGCTAATTAGCCCCCGTTTTTAAAAACTTATATTTTCTCCTCTTTTTCTTTATATTACACCTTTCTCCATTTCTTCACCTTTCTTCTCCATTTTTTCACCTTCTCCATTTCTTCACCTTTCTTCTCCATTTTTTCACCTTCTCCATTTCTTCACCTTTCTTCTCCATTTCTTCATCTTAATCCATTTGAAATTCTCTCTGTTGCTTGAGTTTATTTTTTATCTTTCTCATTTTATCCATCCTTAGTTGTTACCCAAATTTATTTTTAAGAACTTATTAAACTAACATAAAAAGACCCGAAATCTAAAACTAACAACAGGCAGCATGCATGCAATTATATATTCGACAAACCAACATCAACAATCAGAAAGATGTAACAATTCAAAAAAAAGACCCAAAATTTTCTACTCCGAACTAAATCGTAGCACCTACCTATCATAATTTCGTAACAAAAATAATAGGGAATAAAGAATAGGACCTGTATTGAAGTTATCTTCTTTAATAATCTTCAGAATCTTCAAACAATCTTCAGAACTAAATGAATCTTCAGTACCCTAAACCCTAATTTTTTACACTGATTCACCAGCAAAACCCGAAATTTACTCCCGATTCGAAATAGCAGCAACACTAAGAAGAGAAATCGATGGTTGCAACAATAAGATTAAGGTGATTAAGAAGAGAAATCGAAAGTGTCTCTCATCTCCGATGAGAGAAGTTTTCGGATGAGAGCAAAGAGACCATTTTTGCTGAGAAGAAATGACCGACTAGTAAGGTAAAATCCCCTTTTAATTTTTACCACGCAATTAAATTAATATATGCTAATTAAGCCCGTTTTAAGATTAAGGTAATTAATTATCCACGTGGCACGCCACATGGCAGGTTTTAAAACTTAATTAGAGCATGTATCATACGCACTAGTAAGATTGAGACGGGGGGTTTTATTATGAAGGGGGATATAGTTCAGGGGGTTTTTGGGGACAGTTGATAGTTTAAGTAGGGAACTGACAAAGATCGTATAGTTTAGGCGGGTTTGAGGGTATTCACTCTTAGAAATATTCACATTTGATGTTCCTCAATCACTTTGTTGAGTTTCGGCAAGCTAGAGTTTAACGAGATACTTGTGAAGAAATGTCTGTAGAGCAACAAATTGAGTGTCGTCGCATCGTATCTTTATTATTTGAATCTTATGTCCTTCGCAGATGCTGCTGACTGCTGACAAACTGTGCAAGTTACAAGGTGTATTATAGTTCTGTAAATGCTCAGAAGATCAGACTTTCCATTGAGTAGATGTTAGGATTAATCTAGGTTGGTTAAATTACATTTTCTGCTTCTCATGGTGGTTAACTGTAAGTTATCTTAATGTAACTGCTTGGTGAGCTTTTGTTCCCGGCTGACCTCAATTTATTCATGGTACTAGCTAGCTTGATGATGTCAAACCAGATAAATATTATGAGATTGCACATCAAATGTCTGTCCTTGCTATGTGTTGAATTTTCATCTCTTTATGAAGTGTTTCTTCTCGAGATTGTGGGGTTAATCCACTGGAGAAATGATTTTCTTTCGTGTGTCTAACAGAAGAGTGCCAATTGATTTGAATAGTTGATTTGTCTGAAAAATTACAAATTTTGTGTGACCGGTTGTTTTCATGCATCAAACTCGCCGAAGAGGAAATTTTGAGGAAAAGCAAAGTTAGGTTCTTGTTTAGTCTGAGACTCGTTTCATATTAAAATACAGCTGAACAAACAATGATACGTTAGAAAACAGAAGGTTGAGCATGTTTAGGCAATTTTCCTTCAAAATATTTACATAACTTTTACAAATAATTAATTTTTGTCTACAGTAGAGGAACTAGTATTATCAGCTCCCAAGGTAGCTAAGCCCCAACTTTGAAAAATAATCTAAACCTCTGATCAAGGATAAAACAATTTCAAACTATTCTACAATACATGTTGAAGGGGAAGGAGTTTCCATAGTTTGCATCGAACACAAAGTTCAATGTAAATTATGGGAACAGTAAAGTGACCAATGAACAGTTCACGAGTATAGTTTATGGGGGAAAGAAGTTTGGGTAGTACTAAAAAACAGTGAAGCAGTGGTGTAATGCGAGGTTGGAAGACACTGAAGCAGTCCATTAACTGACTTTCTCTCACTGAAAACAATGACAAAAGTAAAAGGAGAAGAATCTGTTGGGGGAAGATGTCAATCCTGAAATTGACAGTGTTGCTTTTTTATCTTACACTATAGAGTAGTATAGTATTTTTTAAGCTTTACAATTCACTCCACTACCCTACTTCATTCAATGAATTCTGGAATCATCATCATTGTCTCTCAGAATAGCAGAACTTCCTCCATTGCAAAATAAGTACTCTTAGCATTTAAGACAAACTAATTTGGTCTGAAATAAGTGTCACTTTTAAAAACTATGAGGCAATAATTATTTTTTTCCCCAAGTTTATAGTTGCTTCAGTAAATGGTCTAAGAGATAAAGGGCAACTTATTTATATAAGCGGTATAGTTTAAGCTATTACTATAACTTATTAGTGAGTTAGCTACCATATTATCAGGTTATTGTTTAATACTTGTAATAAAGATATAATTCTAATTACCTTATAAATGATCTAATAATGTACATAAATATTTCTTATGATAAACTCTTTTTCTAAAACCAAGCATTCAACTTCAAATGGCAATACTCAAGAGGGAATGTAGTTTACTGAGTTCATCTGAATCCAATATTTTTGATGCGAAGTATAGGGTAATGTATAAAAATTCACTAAAATTAAAACAAATAGGTTTAATTCTAAAAACGTTTGAGTTAAATCCTTCGCTTGCGCAATAACTATACATTTTAATGAAAGGCATGAAATGCACTTTAAAACTTGTGATACCTTGCATCAAAGTGAGCAGGCATCTCAAGTACTCTTTGAAGTGCTAAAACTAGATTTCCTTTTTAACTTCCAGATTCTTTGTTTGAAAAGTGAAAAACCGAAAAGTAAACAGTTAGCCCATTGAGCTCTTAATTAAAATGAAAGAGCAAAACAGACAGCTTCTTTATTGTGTGCAATTTCCTCATCATGACATAAAGAGCAACACAACAAAATTGCTTTGTTTCTTAGCTTTTGAGATCTCTCAGTGAGAAGCTAAAGAATGAAAGCACAAATTTGCCTAAGTATAGCATTCACCTAAAGATAACGCTAAAACAAGTTATTGCAAAGCGCTGGTTTGTGTCCAAATTATGCACTACCTAGCGATATCTGCTCAGGTCCCAAATTGAAATTTACTTTGTATTATGTTCAAGACTTGACATAAATCTACAAAACAAAGGGGAACTCAAATTAAGTTGAAAGTACAAATGGTACAAACATGAGAGAAGTGGAAACCATTAAATCTACAATTTGATCATCAATTCTCATATGAATTGGTAAGAAAAAGCCGAAAGGGTACAATGTTGCATGTGAGGGANGGAGGGGGGGAAGTATTTGGGACTTCACGCACATTATTAAATGCACACCTGTGAATGATATTATTATTACTAGCTGGGCAGCTTGAGAAAAACAGGACAATACAATATACGAATCCATAATAATAATGGCAAAACCACCAACCACCACACAAACTCCATTGCCACTTGACATTGATACTTCTGACTAAACCAAGGAGTAGGAAAACCCAATTATATATACTGGTCCCAATTGGATTACTTATATTTCACTGTTTATATGGATAAATTACACTTGAAAAATAAAATTATGTTATATCCATGCTATCCAAATATTTCATGCTTTATCATCTGATTACAAAGTTAATTTTTGCCCCCTTAACGAGTGTACGACAGAGAGCAAGGAACAGCTTAAGCACTGTTGATGCGCATTCTGGGAAGATCCCCTTAGGTTAGTTGATAATAGGCAGCTTATGCTTTCGCTAAGGGTCTTCCGGCAAACAACATTTTAAGGTAGAGATAAGGTCTGTATACACACCCCTCCTATGGAATTATATTGGGTTTCGCTTTTGAAACATCACATGTTAAGTTTTTCAGGAGAGAATCACATGGCACAGGGCCTCCCATGAAATGATCAATCCCCATTAGAATCAGTCCTTTGCAGTACGCCTGGGATATATTAGCAAGCCCAACTAATTCCTGCTCACTCTGCCTATTGGTGATAAATGAAAATATTGAATTTGGTCACACCACAATCCAAATGGAGCTTTGGTTCTTTGGATTGAACATAAGTAATAAGACTATCCTCATATTACACTCTAGTGTGGGGAAGAGGGATAGGTCTAAGCCCTACTTTGCTAAAGAATTTTCAACTAATATTCTAGTTGGACGGTATAAAATGGTTACAGTTCCAGACAGTACAAAATTGACTCTTTATTTAGATCGTTACTGAAATTTTTTTTGTCGAATACGTAAGTCGTTCAGAAATAGTTAAAACATTTGTCTTTGTAAAGTAAAGGGCGAGATTTTATAACCATAGAATTGACTGTAGAGAAAAAGTACACCTTTGATGTCACATGCAACTATTATCGAGTGGATAATAAAGGGGGAGTGGAAAGCTAAACCCTAAATTGATTGAAAAAACAGATGGTACATAAGGTGTTGGCTATGTCACCTTGCAAGTTACAAAGATAGTCAAAGCCTAATTTGACAATTTATGCCCTATTCTACAGTACAGCTTCCAAATTGTTAGTCATGTGTAATTCTGCCATCTGACAGACAACTTTAACTACACCCACTCTCTTTATACAACAATTTTTGGTTGGGGGAGAGACAAACATAAAATATCCACCAACTTCATGCCCCCTTTTTTCAAATTTCTTCTTCACAGCAAATTAGGGAAAACTGATGACTTTCTCCAGCTCAGTAATCCACCCTAATCCATTCATACCGGCCAGTAAGCGGTAAATCGTTTACCACATCAAAGTTGTACCTATTGATGAAAAACAAAATTTTCACATTAGTCGACAGTAAAACGCGTTTAAAGATGACAGTATCCGTTGAATTGAATACTACATACTTCTCCATAAAAAGGCGCTGTTGTTGCTGCTCGGCAAAGGTGAAAAATTCCTCCATTTCTTGAGCTGAAGGGATGTTTCTAAGAATAGAGTCC